ATATTCTATTTGTAGGTATAATTATATCTAGATTGTTTGGATTGAGTCATCTGAGAATGGCGTTTCTCATCCACTAATGGATAAATGGATTGATAGCAGGCATTCCCTTAATATACGTGAGCACATCATCTGGTTGGGGTGTCATGCAGTAAATGGCTTTAATATGTAAGCTTGTAGCCCATAAAACCCGCACTCAGATTTTTATACCTGAGTTGTTTGTCGTGTTTAAGTGGATGGGGCGTGGTCTAGGAATCATTGCATTGGTTTATCCTACTCTCAGATTAGGAAGTTGAGGCTCAGGGAGTTTATGGCATTTTGCAAAGGTCATACAACCAGCTTATGGCATGGCCAGGCAGGAACACAGACATGCTGTAAGTCCTGGGGTCTTGTGCAATCCCTGGTGCCTCTCGATACGGAGCCTCATGCTCGTCTCCTGTCCACCTTGCTGGTGAGACTTGTCCTGGTCTTAATCAGAGATCTAGCCCTCCCTCTAATGTCTCTGCCTAGATCCTGGGCACAGCTTCCTGACTTCCAGTCCCTCTGTCTGATAAACTTCATCTCACGTCGTACTTTGCTACCTCGTGTCAATCTTTGAAGAGCTGCTATCTTATGAGTTAGAGTCTGGTTGTCATTTTCTCTTGCAGTGGGACTCCAGTTCATGGGAAGTGATAAGAAGAGTCCTTTTGCCATGTAGGATTTCCCCTCCTAGCAGTGTGGTTCCCACCACTCTATGATAGTCCTGCAGGGTGTGAGGTCCATGCAGGACTGTTGTAGGAAGTCCTGTGTCCCCAGGAAAAGTCTGTGGTGGGACAGTGCTGTCTCAGCCATGGAGTCCCTTTCCTATGTCTTAGTCTTCCCTCCATGTGAAGTTACAAGAAATACAAAGCTCTGTTTTCATTCTTTCTCTCTCTATCTTTCTCTTCTTTTCCTCAAACTGTTCTTCTCCCACTCATCCATTTTAGTCAGAGTGTTTCTGTTTAGGAAACAGACTGGTGGCCACAGGTGAACCTTTCACCACACCTGTGCACTGTGAGAGAAGGCCAGGGATGGAGGTTTGCTTTTCTGCTCTATGAAACCAAGTGAGGCCTGGGAGGAGAGTGGGTACATTGGTCTGTTCTCACGCTGCTAATAAAGACATACCCAAGACTGGGTAATTTTTAAAGGAAAGAGGTTTAATTGACTCACAGTTCCACAGGGCTGGGGAGGCCTCAGGAAACTTACCATCCTGGTGGCAGGGTAAGCAAACACGTCCTTCTTCACATGGTGGCAGGAAGGAGAAGAATGAGAGTAAAGGGAGGAAAATCCCCTTATAAAACCACCAGATCTCATGAGAACTCATTCACTGTCATGAGAATAGCATGAAGGTAACTGCCCTCATGGTTCAGTTGCCTCCTGGGGGGTTCTTGCTACCACACATGGAGACTATAGGAACTACAGTTCAAGATTAGATTTGGGTGGGAACACACAGTCAAACCATGTCTTACTGCTCCTGGCCCCTCCCAAATTGCATGTCCTCACATTTCAAAACACAATTATACCCATTCCAGCATTCCCCTAAAGTCTTAACTCATTCCAGCATTAACTCAACAGTCTGGGTCTAAAGTCTTATCTGAGAGAAGGCAAGTACCTTTCACCTATGAGCATTTGCATCAAAAGCAAGTACCATTTACACTTCCTAGATGCAGTGGGGTTACAGGCATTGGGGAAAATACACCCATTCCAAATAGGAGAAATTGGCCAGAATGAAGGGGCTGCTGGCCCCATGCAAGTCTGAATTCAGTGGGGCATCCTTTGACTCCACGTTTCACATCCAGGTCATGCTGATGCAAGGGGTGGGCTCCCATGGCCTTGGGCAGCTCTAACCCTGTGGTTTTGTAGGATATAACCCCCTTCCAGGCTAGTTTCATGGCTGGTGTTGAGTGTCTATGGCTTTTCCAAGTGCAGGGTGCAAGCTGTTGGTGGATCTGGGATCTGGAGGATGGTAGCCCTCTTCTCATAGTTTCACTGGGCAGTGCCCAGTGGGGGCTCTGTGTGTGGGCTTCAACCCTACCTCTCCATTCCACGCTGCCCTCGCAGAAGTTCTCCATAAGGGCTTTGCCCCTGCAGCAGACTTCTGCCTGGGCATACAGGCATTTCCATTCATCCTCTGAAATCTAAGTGGAGGTTCCCTCAATTCTTGACTTCTGTGCGCCTGCAGGCCCAACATCATGGGTAACCTGCCAAGGCTTGGGGCTTACAGCCACCGAAGCAGTGACCTGAACTATATGTTGGCTCCTTTTTGCTGCAGATGGGACACAGGACACTAAGTCCCAAGACCGCACAAAGCAGCAAGCCCTGGGCTTGGACATGAAACCATCTTTCTTCCTAGACGTCTGGGCATGTGCTGGAAGGGGCTGCCATGAAGACCTCTGAGGCGCCCTGGAGACATTTTCCCCACTGTCTTGCTGACAAACATTTGCTTTCTTATTCCTTATGCAAATTTCTGCAGCCTGCTTGAATTTCTCTTCCAAAAACGGGGTTTTCTTTTCTATTGCATGGTCAGGCTGCAAATTTTTCAAACTTTTATGCTCTGCTTCCCTTATAAACATAAATTCCAATTCCAAACCATCTCTCTCAAGTTCAAAGTTCCACAGATCTCGAGGGCGGGGGCAAAATGCCACCAGTCTCTTTGCTGAAGCACAGCAGGAGTGACCTTGACTCCAGTTCTGAAGAAGTTCCTCATCTCCCTCTGAGACCACCTCAGCCTGAACTTCATCGTTCCTATCACTATCTGCATTTTGGTCAAAGCCATTCAACAAGTTTCCTGGAAGTTTCAAACTTTCCCACATTTTCCTGTCTTCTTCTGAGCTCTCCAGACTGTTTCAACCTCTGCCTATTACGCAGTCCCAAAGCTGCTTCCACATTTCTGGGTATCTTTATAGCAGTGCCCCACTCTCTGCAGTACCAATTTACTGTATTAGTCTGTTCTCACGCTGCTAATAGAGACATACCCAAGACTGGGTAATTTGTAAAGGAAAGAAGTTTCATTGACTCACAGTTACACGGGGCTGGGGAGGCCTCAGGATACTTACAATCATAGCACAAAGGGAAGCAAACACATCCTTCGTCACATGGCAGCAGGAAGAAGAATGAGAGCGAAGGGTCAGAGGAAACCCCCTATAAAATCATCATATCTTGTGAGAACTCACTTGCTATCATGAGAACAGCATGAGGGAAACTGCCCCGTGATTCAATTACCTTTCACCAGGTCCCTCCCATGATGTGTGGGGATTATGGAAATGAGAATTCAGGTTGAGATCTGGAAGTGGGGGAGCACAGCCAAACCGTGTCAGGGGGATTGCTGCTGGCTTACACTGATGCTTCCTTTCCCCATGTCCAAGCATGCTCTAAAATACTGTAGCCTGGAGTATGTCTGAGAGAAAGCGGTTCCTTGAGTCCTAAGCTTTGGACGAGGGGCTGAAAGTGTGCGCCTCTTACATGCTTAATGTTTCTCTTTTCCTATGAGAAGTAAACGCGCCGGTAAAGAGAACAGATAGCTGAAGCCGTCAAACAGAGGAGGATATAGAAGTGCTCTCTCCCTTCAAGCCAGGGAACTGAGATGGAGGTTGTCTCATGGGGGACTTTATTGCCGACACATTTAGCATAATGCTTCTTGAGAAGCAGCCCTGTTGTGTGTTGTGTGCAGAGAGGGAGGTGTGGCTCCTGATTTACTGCAGGTTCCCTTGCCCCCCCCATCTGGGCAGCACATGGACTGGGGATCATGTCTGCCTGGCTGCCAGCCCCAACTTTGCATTTCAGCTATGGGACACTGGGCATTTGCTTCTCCCCTCCTGAGCCTCAGTTTCCTCATCTACAACCTGTGGGTCATGATAGGGTCTGTCTCATAGGGTTGTAAAGGGGACTTGGTGAAATAATGTGTGTGGCCCCATCATCGCTCTGCTGGTTTCAATGGCTCTGCTGTGACCATTGAGGCACTAGAGGCTGTGTGGGTTTTAAGGTGTACTTGTTGGAGAACAATCTGTTTGAGGAGGGAACCAACTGTTATGTTTTATAGTTTAGAAAACATTAGACTCCCATAATTAAAGCATTTGAAAAAAATAGATTATTGTCTTTTCTTTGAATCCAGAGAGATAGAGTTTTCAATTAATCACAAACTAAGCTACTGAGCTCTTGTCTTTCAACATGTGTGGAACAGGCAAAGTTGCCATAGGCTTAATTCCAGTCCCATAGGTTTGTGGCCAGCGAGGAGGCCGTGGCCAGGCACACAGGCGAATGGTTATTGATCTCAGGAGGTTGATGCCCTCTCCTGTTGAGGTCTCTAATCAGCCACGGCTTCCTCCTATCATTTTCTCAGCAGAAACCACAAAAGAAACATGAAGACTCTGCCTCTGACTTCAGAGTATTTCTTACTTAGGAGCAGCAAAGAAAGAGCTGAAATGAAAGGAAGCAAAAAGGGTAATTCGGTCCATAGACTGAAACTGAAATGAAACGCGTCAGTGCATCAGTTAATTAGGTCTTGAATTTGCCAGAGTTTAACAAGGAAAAGTAAACACCTGCACACGTGTTCATGGAGGTGACTGACTATGCGGCGCTCCCCCGAGATGCACTGCTGGTGATGCAGCTGCAGTGGGGCCACACTTGAACAGTTCTGCTGGTTTAGAAGTCACAGCCTCTACTCTTCGTACTTTTCTAGTTCTGTGACTTGAAGCGTACTTCCCATCATGCATTTCACATAGATCATAAAATTATTACTTTGGAAGGTAATGACAGGTCTTGGAGAATTTATGAACAAAAGTATTATGGGAAGTGAAGGTTAACACTTAAAGCAGATGTATCCATTTTTTATCTCATGAAAATATACATAAAATTAGCTTAGGGTATATTTTAAAATGCTGGATTCTTTTTGTGTTGTAATCAATGAATTTCCCTCCTCCTCCTTCTCCCTTGCTTCCTCCTTCTCTCCCCGTCCTTCGCCGCCTCCACCTCCTCTCCTTTCCTAGACTGCACAGACGATTCTGGTGGTGGTCGTGGTGTTTGGAATCTCCTGGCTGCCTCACCACATCATCCATCTCTGGGTTGAGTTTGGAGTTTTCCCACTGACACCGGCTTCCTTCTTCTTCAGAATCACCGCCCACTGCCTGGCATACAGCAATTCCTCGGTGAATCCTATCATATATGCATTTCTCTCTGAAAATTTCAGGAAGGCTTATAAGCAAGTGTTCAAGTGTCACCTTCGCAAAGATTCAGATCTGAATGATAATAAAGAAAACAAAAGTCGAATAGACACCCCACCATCAACCAATTGTACCCACGTGTGATCAAACAAATATTAGAGTATCCTTATTGTTGAGTTTCCTTATAAGTGGACCAGACACAGAAACGAACAGAAGGAACTAGTAGCAACTTGTTCTCTTAACAACAACTCATGTCATTTTAATTAAATCCCACCTGTGTTCAAAAGCACTTTGATCCATTTAGGAAATTCCTAGGTCTAGTGAGAATTACTTTTCTATTTTATTTTATTTCGAAATTATGTTTCAGAAACAAAAGACAATGCTGTATAGTTTTATTCCTCTTCAGAAATGAAAGCTTAGTAGAATTTTATAGATATGTTCAACTCTTCATAGATTAAGGACTGACCCATCAAAATGGTCAGGAATATTTGGAGTCTACATTTTAAAGCAAATATATTTAGGAAAAAAATTTGAGCTTCAATTCTTTAATTTTAAGAGAAGTAATATTATGAACTATGTATTTTAAAATATGATCATGGACATACAATGATGATTTTTCTGGGGGCCATTTACATAGGCACATCTATTAAGTGGGAAGAAGGCGTCCTGAAGTCTGATTGCAGAGGTGCATTGCTTGCATTTGTCGCTAGAGTACAGAGCTTCTGCAGTCGGTGGTTTGAGATGCAGCCGGTTTCTCTCAGGAGTCAGCTCAGAGTTGTGGTGACCCTGGGGTGCAGTAGTAGGCACTGTTGATTAAAATCTATCCTGTGAAATTAGGCTTTATAGAATTAAGGAAACAGAGTCAGAGACCACTGTCCTAGTAATGGAAGGTGCAAATGAGTTTTTAAGAATAAAATTGGGTATTGAAATTTTATATAAGTACTTGACAAAGGTTTTCATTATGCCTTGAATGGAACCTACTCGAAAGAGAGATGAAAAAAAAATCAGTAAGGTCGATATAGATAATAATTTCTATGGGCTGAAGACTAGACAGAATTCAGTAAGTCATATGATGTAATGGCCATGCCTATAAAGTATATTTCATGTTTGATTTAGATAACATTAAAAAATCATGAGACTGAATCCACCTAGGGATATCCTATCTTGTACGAATGCATGTTTTTTCATTAAATTTGTAATGATGTGTAATGCACATTTCCACCAAATGTTATTTCCTCTAAAAATGTTAATGTGGGGTCAAAACCATCACCACTTGAATTTCAAATGTAGTTTTCATGACAATTTCATATGGATATGTGTTTACAATGAGAAAATGGCATGAAGATATTAAATTATCCTGGATCAGAAAAGTGCTCTTCAGACTGCAAGACCTTGATATGTTTTAGGAGGAAACAAAAGCAAGATTTGTTTTTGTTTGTTTAAAAGGATTTGCCTAGGAATGGTGGCTTATGCCTGTAATTCCAACATTTTGGGAGGTCAAGGTGGGTAGGTTGCTTGAGCTCAGGAGTTCAAGACCAGCGTGGGCAGCATGGCAAAACCTGGGCTTTACTAAAAATACAAAAATTATCTGGGTGTGGTGGCACATGCCTCTAGTTTCAGCTACACTGGATGCTGACACAGTGGATCACCTGAGCCTGGGAGGTCCAGAATGCAGTCAGCCAAGACTATACAACTGCACTCCAGCCTGGGCAGCACAGCAAGACTCTGTCTCAAAAAAACAAAAAACACCAATGATGTGTAATGTACATCTGTGCCAAATCAGGACTCCACATGGAACATCAAATTTTGGATAAAAATACAGACTTGACATAAGCCTTTGGCATGCTGACTTTTCTAGCTCATTCACTTACTTTCATTAATCATATTCCAGTGACCAGTGTTTACAATTGCAATGTTATTAATAACTCTTTGGGTAAAAGGAAAGAAAAATGTTAGACAGGTTGGGAAGTGATATATTTTCATGTTTGTTGACCAGACAAAGAAGTTGTACGTATGTGTAAGTGAGGGTCTTAAAGAATAAGCCCTTTGATTCGAATGTTTTTTGCACTTTATTCAAATATAGGAGCAGAAAAATTTTATCCTGACAGTAATACCTCATATGATTTGTGGAACCTGTGTTGCTGTTGTAAACTCCAGAACAACTTTGGGGTGTGAATTCACAGAACTGTGCAAAGAAGTGCCTTCTGGTTGCGTCTGAACTTGCATGAATGGCTGTTTCTTTGTTTTCTCCGTGTGATCTGTAAGCACGTAAATGGAAGTATTAAAAAAAATACTGTAACTAATGTCACTGTTTTCTAGAGGCATGCTGAAAATGTGCTGTTCCTTTTGTCCTTCCCAGATGCTACTGGTGTGTAGAAAGCTTGAGGCATGGCACGAAAGTTGTAACTCGCACTTGAAAACCCTCCGCTTTGCTAAATGTAACTGCTAACTGTTGCATTTTATAGTTAGATAGAATATACTTCCTGCGTATTGTCATTCTAATCAGTTCCTCTTACTCAGAGTTTCAGCTGAGTCTACTTCTAAAACAAATTTTGATAGGGATAATAACGTACTCTGCAAAGATCTCAACCTGTTCAAACTTATCTGAATGAAGAGTTCCAGAAGAACTCGTAAACAGAGTTAAATTACCCAGAGAAGTATAAGAGTGTGTTGCATTTGCCACGCATCTGCTTCCTAGCTAGACTTTTCCCTAATATATCATGACCAGTTCTGAAGCACCTTCTTCTCCATCACTAAATGAAGACAGCCTCCCAAGGACACACTTTTTATCCCAGCATCAGGTTGAGGGAGAAATATTGAGTGCGCCTTTGAAGTCAGGCTGCCTGAGACCCACATTTTCGGTTTACTTCAAAGAAAACTGATGTCTCTTATGTAGATTTGGGTGTCTCAGTGCCCCGAGGCAGCTGTTGTTTCCCTAGGCTTTTTGCTTTCATCTAAGGTGACAGGACCTGGGATATTTAGTGGCTGAAATGCCTGCTGTTTCACATGCATAAGCAACAGTTTTGCTTTCCTGCTGCTGAATACAGTGATGTGGTTGGAAACATTTTCTTGTCCTGTATCCTGGAGATAGGAAATAGATTCTCTCTCTGCTCTCCTGAGCAGGTATGTGCTTGGCAATGTGGGAGACCGACCATCTTCTCAATACTTTAGGTAAATTACTTTTGCTTTTAATAAATTGTATCATTTTACCCATTGGGAGTAAAATCATTTCCTCCCCCATCCCGATCTCTTGTGCTTTTATCTTTTTTATCCTAACTCACTTCTATCCAGATTTCCTCCGGATAATATTTACCACAGACAGATTACTCCTTTGGCCCAGACAGAACAAGTCAGAGTCGGGAGGAGAGATGATTGCGGAACTGCATGGGTCATGCAAGGCTCAGAACTTCTTGAGGCTCAACTCAAAATCATGTTGCATTTCCGCATTCTCCCAGATGCTGTGAGGCAGTGCAGCGATCACGCGTGTTCACTAAGACCCAAAGTCTAAGCAGGAGAGCACGGCGTGTCCCTGTATCCCTTTCCCTTTCACAGTCGTGAGTATCTGTAAATACCAACGTGCTCATGCTGGAGCAGCACTGCACTGAGGAAAACCACCAGTTGTGCAGCTTCATCACGTTCTTGCTTTAAAGGAGCTATTAAACTCACATGCGTAAACCACAGTCGCCAACTTGGAAAATACATCCACGTGGCTACTTCCTCTGAAGAGTAACTGTCTAAAATTTGTGAATTTTAATCTATGCTTTTGCACATAGTTTCCATGTCTTAAATTTGAAAGTGGCTTTCTATTAAAGGTAATCATGTTCTTCTTGGCCATTAAAAATGTTGCCTGGAAGGGTATTTCTCAAGGAGGTGTTAATGATTGTTTATTGACTTACTTATTTTAAAAGCTGTATATAGAAGAAAGAGTAGGTGGCTTAAAATTCAGTTACCTGTTGGCCTGGAAACAAACAAAAAAATCATGAAATGGTAATTATATTTGATGTTATTTAACCATATTTTAATATTTTCTCTTTTAGAAGTGGAAAAGTTGAGCCTGTGGAACAATTTGAAATGCTTAAGACGTCTTTGATGGGGCTGAATCTGCATAAGGCAAAGGCGTCTATGGAGAGCGGATCGTGTATTCTAATGCATGGGTCAGGAGGCTTGGTTCATTGACTTGTGAAAGTGCTGCGCATAATAGTGGTTTCTTTTCTTCACGCGGCAGGTTCACTCACATTCACGTTTTTGGCTTTAGCTGCCATCCTGGGGTTCTGCGGACAGCATGTCTATTTGACTGGGTAAGACCCTCATACACTCTGGCGGGCCCTGGCTGTCACTTCTCTGTGGTGCCTGGTGCTGGTGCTCTTCCCAGTGCTGACTCTTGAGCAGATGCCCCCATCCCTCCCCATCAGCCCCTGTTCCCATGTCAGATGATTCTTGGGTTTTGTTCTAGGCGCAGAAATAGTGGGAGAAGCCATAATCCTGAGTGGTGAATAAGAAGGGAAGGTGGCCAGTGAGGGTTTTTACCTTTGTATTCATTGGAAATAACCTCAGCTGAATTTTCTCTCCACATCTTTTCAATGTTGGCTCCATTTGCCATTTTCAGACAATCGTCTGAAGAGCTGAACTGAGGGCCCAAGATTTGCTTGGCACTGTTGGATAGAAAGCCTCTCCCTTACTGCTGAAGAATTCATTCCTTAGGCCACATTGTGTAGCTCCAGACTCTCAGCAATTAGAAAAGGCGCAGTAGCTGGGCGCGGTGGCTCACGCCTGTAATCCCAGCACTTTGGGAGGCCGAGGCGGGTGGATCACAAGGTCAAGAGATGGAGACCATCCTGGCCAACATAGTGAAACCCTGTCTCTACTAAATACAAAAAAATTAGCTGGGCATGGTGGCACATGCCTGTAATCCCAGCTACTTGGGAGGATGAGACAGGAGAATCGTTTGAACCCAGAAGGTGGAGGTTGCGGTGAGCCAAGAATGCACCATTGCACTCCAGCCTGGGTAACAAGAGCGAAACTCCATCTCAAAAAAAAAAAAAAGAAAAGGCACAGTAAAGAGAAGAACCCTTGCTAATGGATGGAATGTACTGGAGCTGAGCTCCACTGTTTGAATTCTTGACTCTTACGTAGTAGTGGTGTGTGGTAACCCATGAAGTAGGATGACTTTTGGGGCCTGCTGTAGGTTTTCTATGGGACACCATATATCACAGTACTGTATTTCAAAATATCAGATATTGATTATGAAAACTGGACCTATTTATGTGTCATTATTCTAAAGACATTGTGATCTATGAAGGTCTTTTTTTTTTTTTTTTTTTGCTAGATTGGCCAAAACAAGTGCTCCTGTTTTGAGGCAGTCTAGCTAACATGTCTCACATGGGTAAAAACGCGGATGGTCCTTTGTCTGGTGCTAATGAAGAATGACCTGGGCCCAACATAGAACTTTCCCAGTATGGTAAGCATCGGAGTAGACAGACATCCAAAGGCCAAGTGAGGGGCAGATCCCCAGTCACCACCCAGGCCCTGCAGGCAAAGCGCTCAGGGTCCCATTTGCATCTGTGTGGCCTGCACTGTGGTTCCCCTAGGACTCCGGCAGTGGGACACCAAAGATGGTGTGTAAGGCCCTCAGTCTATAATGGGCTTATGTCAAGTATCTAAAGGTTCATTGCCTTGTTCAAGGAATCACAGAGCATCGTTTCTGATTGATTCTTAGAGCCTGCATCTTGTAGCACTGGGATTTCAGGCCTCTGGGGACCATTGACTGTGCCAGGAGGGTGGAGAAATGAAGCCCGTGGCAGAAGCATGCTCCCAGCTCCTCCTCTCGTGCTCAGCCAGGCGATTCTTCCTTCCAGTGGCCTTGAGATGTCTGTGTAATCATTTGTTGAGAAATCATTAAAGAGTGACTAATCTAAAAAATCTATCATCTTTTATTCGTGTTGACTTTCTGATCACGCCTTCCATTCACTCTTGTTTTTACTCATATATATGTCTGTTTTTATTCTTCCCTGCATCTTTCTGAATGTTGATCATTTTTCTACACTTGTGATCTTTCCATTTCCGTCAATAAGTCTGAAACTGGCTGCACATTTGAATAAGCTGGGAAGTTGAACATACCCATGATGCTCTGGCCTTACCTTAGATCAGAGATTCTCATATTTATCAAGCATCAGAATCACCTGCAGAGCTTGTTAAATAGAGATTGTTGGCCACATCTCCAGAATTGTTCAGTAGATTTTGGATGAGACCCAAGGATTTGCAGCTGGTCCAGAGACAGCTCGTGAGATCTATTACCTGGTTTAATTGGTTTGAAGGTGAAGGTAGAGTCCAGACTCTTTTTTTAAAAAAATTATTTTTATTGAGACATAATACTTATATACATATTAAAGGGTTCATGTGATATTTTGATACATGCATACAATGTGTAATGATCAATTCAGGGTAATTAGGATATTCATCACCTCAAACTTTAAAAAAAATATTTGTATCTTTATATATATGTATATATTTTATTGCACTCTAGGTCCTGGGGTCCATGTGCAGAACATGCAGGATGTGGCATAGGCACCTCTATGGCAATGTGGTTTGCTGCTTCCATCCCCCTGTCACCTCTATCTGCCATTTCTTCCCATGTCCAGACTTGTAAAAATAAATAGCATGTGCATATCCAGAGCAGATAAACCAACCAAATTGAGTTGATGATCGTTTAAAGTATAAGCTTCTATGCTTCTGTGAAAAAAATGGTTTATAGGAAATTTAAATCATTCAGGATTTTTATTGCTTACATTGGTCAGACCCGTAAAATATCTGGTTATTACATTACCCTGGCTGCAGAGATCAGCTTCCAAAAGCATGAAGGAGTTTGATGACTTGTAAGGCTTTCAGAGATTGTTATAATTTTTCCCTCAATAAAATAAAATAAAATAATAGCTTGGTGGAAAGGAGTATGCATTCACTTTGTTTCTCTCAAATACTAAGGGTTAAAATAGTATTCAAAGTTGTTAGATGTGAAGTTTTAACCCAGTGCTTTACCTTAGTGTTTAAATGTGTGCATGCCTTTCTATGTGACTGCTAATTTTAACTACATTATTATCTCTAAGAGATAAACTTCCCCTGTACTTAACGTTTTAAAATTAATTATCTCCTGCTAACATAAGTGGTATGAGCAAGGAAACAAATCTATGTATACTGTATTTTGAAATTTCAATAAGGTGTGATATGGGTTGGCTCTGCATCCTCACCCAAATCTCACCGTGAGTTGTAATAATTCCAATGTGTCAAGGACGGGGACAGCTGGAGATAATTGAATTATGGGGGCAGTTTCCCCTGTACTGTTCTTGTGATAGTGAGTTCTCATGAGATCTGATGGTTTTACAAGCATCTGGCATTTCCCCTGCTGGTGTATTCTCTCTTTGCCTGCTGCCATCCATGTGAGATGTGACTTGCTCCTCCTTGCTTTCTGCCATGATTGTGAGGCTTCCCCACCCATGTGGAGCTGTAAGTCAATTAAACCACTTTCTTTTGTAAATTGCCCAGTCTTGGATATGTCTTTATAAGCAGTGTGAAAATGGACTAATACAATGTAATTATTTAATGCTGATATGAAAGCAGTTATACCAATACTGTTACAATTATTCTCAAGCTGGCCATACAATTTATCTCATCATCTATAGCTCTACCATGAATTCCAGTAAGCTGACAAAGCCAAAAGCCAAAAATTAAGAGATTTTATTAATCTAGTTAATGCCAAATCTAGTCATTCTCCATCATCCTACCTCTGTGTTCTGCATGAAACAAAATTGGCCTTTGTGATTGGAACCAGTCTTCTTGAATTGAAAATAAAATTTGTTCCTTAAAATGCTCTAGTTTGAGTGTGCTTTTTTTTTTCAAACAAATGGAAATAATTTTCTGCTCCCATAAAGTTCTTGAAGACACTGTATTCCTTAGTTACTGCATATTTGAGAACATTGGTTTGTTGCCTTTATACCTGAAAAACAATTCAGATAAACTTGTTTTATTGCAGTTTATTTTTATTAAGTTACCTCTAGATTCAGCTCAGAATTTTGAATGTTACTGGAAAAAACTCAGAAGGCAAACTGATGCCCCCATTTTGGGTAACTAGTTTTTTTTCCCCCCTTGGATGAGCACTTGCTTTTTAAAATTACTGATGCCTGATACCTTCACCAGAATGTCTCTTTTCATCACTCTCTAATACTTGAGTATTCTTCATAAATTGAATTATAGTTTCATAAAAGTGAAAGGGACATTTAGCCTGGTAAAGTGACCATTTAACCTGGCAATTCCCAATCTTTTGTCATGTAAGGATTCTTTTGTAAATATAAAATTATTCACAGACTTTCATATGACAATAATGTACTTTTAGTATATGTCAGTAGAGAAAACACAAAATGAAAAATAAAACTACAGACCTGTGTCTCTCATGGACATAAACACAAAATCTTCAACGAAATGTTGGTAACTCATATACAAAGAGGTTTAAAAATAATTATATACCATGACCAAGAAAGGTTCATTCCAGAAATGCGAGGCTGGATCAACAGTGAAAAATCAGTCTGTGTAATTTACCATGTTGTCAGGCTACAAGAGGAAAATCAGACACCATAATTGACACAGAAGATGCATTTGACAAAATCCAGCACCCATTCATGATTTAAAAAGTTCTCAGCAACCTAGCAGTAGAGGAAAATGTCCTCACTTTAATAAATAGCATTTACAATAAAACTCTAGAGCTAACATCATGTTCAATGTGAAAGACTGAATGCTTTTCCCTCAGGTAAGGAAATTGACAAGGGCACCTACTCTTATTTAATGTGGGATGGAAGTTCTAGTCACTGCAATAAGGCAAGAAAAAAAAAAAAAAAGGAAAAGGATATAGAGCAGAAAAGAGGGGGATTAAACTGTGTCTGTTTACAATTGACATGATCATCTGTATAGAAAATCCCCCAACATAAAAACTCCTTGAACGAGTAACTCATTTCAACAAGGTCACAGGACACAAGACACACAAAATGCAAAGTGAGAAAATGCTACACTGAATCAGTTACACATTTAAATCGTTCATAAGTGATTAATCACAACACAATTGACAGGCATTAGAAATAGTGAGACAGTACTTTATTGAATCTATAGACAATGCCACTTCAAACTTAATCATCAAAGAAAGTTCAGCACTGTCTTCCTCAATCATAACGCAGGTTTGAATCCCTAAAACAAAAGGCTTGGCCTCATACGAGAGTCCTGAGATTGTTCCACTCTAGTATCCTCTTTCTGTAGTGATCTAAATTTTAAAAGACACTGAGGTAAAATAAATAGATTTCAAGTGCAATGCCTTTTAATGCTGTCTGCTTTATACC